TTGTCCTCCCTCGTATCTTGCGCCTTTCGTGCTAAGGCACACGTGTAGCACTTTTGGATACGCTCCTCGAGAGTTGAACGAGTCCTTTTGATACGAACTCATTCACTGGCCGATGGCTTGGAGGAGGGGCCATTTGCCTGTTGTTGAGGTGCTTGGCGCTCCCTAAACTTCAGATCCATGTGATAACAGATCCTGTCAACTGGCTCCAAGGCCTTGGCAAGCTGACGTGCAAGGCGTTAGCGTTGCCTTTAACGAGCCCATTTCATCAGAATTGGCGCGTCTTTGTTAAACAACTCCTGGACTGAAGATGAGTCATTGTGATCTGAAATTCTAGCTTCCTTGGATGCTGGTGGAGCATTGCAAGGGGAAACCTCAGTAACAATTAGGTGAGAGTCACCCTAAGTCTTCTTTGATGCCGATATCTTCATGTACTTGCAGGATAATGAAGATCTTGATGAGGATGAGGAGAGATATTCCTCAAAGTTGGCCTTGTCGAACTCGTACTCGACCTCTTCTTCAACCGGGATCTTGATCCTTGGTTGCGGCACGATAGCCTCGGTAGAGAGGCTGTTGGCTCCTACTGTGGTTGCTAGCGTGTTTGAGTCAAAAGTTATTTTATTTGTCGAATCCATTATAATTATTTATCAATTACAATGAATTCAAAAGAGTTAATTTTTTATAAGACTACTCGCGTAGACAAATAAAATGAGAAAATACAACTCTCTTCAAACACACGCAGATGACGTTTATCACCCGCTACTTGCATGAGATCTTTGCCTGTGCCAGGGACAAGTTAGTCTGTGGACCACCACAGATTAGATCCAGTTGATAGAATAAAAAATTAATGCTCTTGCTTCACAAAGGAAATAATCGCAAGAGTGATAATCTTGACCAAGCGAGATTACGACTCTTCTCGAGATCAAAACCAAGTTTGATCCGGAGGAAAGCGGGATATGCCTCAGATCTCTCGAACTCTCCTTCTTTATGCTGAAGAACTTCGCCAAGATTTGCTAACCTCTCTCTAAAATTCATGGATCACTCTTTAATTCGACAGCACCTCGCCTAGATTTCAGATTCCATGCGTATAGGGCCCTAAGCTTGTATTTATAGATTTTGGTTGTAGCATTTTAGGATAGGAATTAATGATTTGACCTTATCCTCGGTTAACAACCTCTTAACCATGTTTAGGCATAGTATCAAAGTAGCTGGGAGGCTCTGCAACGAACAAATCCTGACAAATCTCATCGAAAATCGTGTTTTGGGCTCTTTCGGGAGCGAGCCTCCTCACGGTAGCTCGGAACTGTGCGGGACACCAAATGGTGGCTCAGCCTAGGCCGAGCCACCGGTTTTGGCCGAGTCATTTCGGTGCAACTCAGCTACCAGGGGTTATTCTGGTCTTTCGGATTTTGACTTATTTCGTTGTTACGCACGTTTCGTTGTTTCGTTAACTTGTACACTTCACCGATTCGCTTCATGCATTTCAGGCCACTAGGAGCTGGACAATGAGCATGCGGACCCCTTAAAGTTGGCCGGTGAGCATGCGGGCCACTTGGAGGTGGCCGACGAGCGTGTGGGCCACTTAGAGGTGGTCGATGAGCATGCGGGCCACTTGGAGCTGGCTGGTGAGCGCGCATACCACTTGGAATTGGCCGATGAGCACGCGGACCACTTGGAGCTGGTCGGTGAGCGTGCGGGCCACTTAGAAGTGGCTGGTGAGCACGCGGGACACTTGGAGCTGGCCGGTGAGCATGCGGACCACTTGGAGGTGGCCGGTGAGCGCACTGGCCACTTAGAGGTGG